GAAATGAATTTAATCCATACTTGAAAGGCTTGCCTGGAGTGATTTCTGGGCAACAACGTAAACAATGTATGGTCAGTTATCACCTCCTTTGTACAAACGCATACATTTCCCAGCAGCTGAAAAATGTACCTTTTTTTTTTAATAATTGATCTTATCTAGGCTTGCTGGGAGATTCCCATCCAAACTCCAACTAGAATTTAAAAGTAAACTTGGTCACCTTTATTCTACTGAAGTAGCATGGAAAACAGTGTCTTTAATCATTTCCGAAAAATTCAGAAATGCTGCTCTTTCAACCCTGCAGCTATGTTCCCAAACCCATTTTGGTAGCTTTTCTCTTAATAGGCAGTGATTCGCTGTGCTTTATACCTCAAGTTAATTACATGCTGCTATATTAATTTCAGAACTTTAATTTACCTTGTGATTTCCTTTGCTGATGCTGAATAGGAAGGATAAAGGGAATAAGTATTACTAAGTGGCATATTATTTTTAATCTTAGAGTTATATGGGAAAATAAAATTTCATTAGCATTGAGTCTGACTTAAGGGCTTGAACTTTATTCCATATAAAAATCCTTGAACTCATATAAACAAGGGACTATAAGAGACAGACAAATGTCGTCGCCTTAGTACAAATTCGATTGTCTTTCGTTGTTTTGCATCTTGCTGGTTTTAAGATAAATTATGGAATAATTTACAATGTATTCTCCATTAAAACGGGTATCTTCACACAAACTTCATGTTTCATTTGCGATACCTACTGTTATTTTTTTATTATAACCTTTTACGATAAAATAAATATTGTTCCACTGTTTCAAGAATTAGGTATAATGCCAATACACTGCAGCTGACAGCCAACACTATAATTTATAGAAGTTGCTTAGCTTTGTAGAAGAAGAGACAAAGCACAGCTACACATCACACTAAAAAGAATTTCATATTTTTGCATAAATTTAGACTAAGGGAACAAATGAGACAGATAATGTCATTCTTCTGTATCTTCTGTCCAGTATATAAATACGTGCAGTTAAAAAACTGCAATATCCTAATTCCTCAATTTCTCAAAGTACATTTCTCCCTCTAAAATCGCCATTGGTAATGTTTCTGTGGTAACTTCTACAACACAGAATACTATTTTCTGACTTTAATTCACCTCATGCATCTAATGGGTGGCTCACGCTGAGACAGCCATTCTTTCTATTCATCCCAGGCTTGCCCCAGTTAGTAGGCAAATTTCCACCAGACTCAATAAAAAGAAAAGCAGGGCTGATGGGGCAGATTTCCAAGGCTACTTAGTTACTGAACAATATAAACAGAAAATTAATGAGATTTGCAAAAGTACCTGCAAGCTCATGACAAAATTCCCATTGATTCAACAGTGTAACAGGAATTAAAATACACAGTCCCGCGGTGTGTCTCATGAGCTTGTTAACGAAAGGGTGTTCTGATGCCGTAATCACGACCACTTCTCACAATTCATACTACATCTAACAGAATAATCTTTAAAGACTTTCTGTTGTTAAAAATCAGTCTGATGGTGATTACAAGTCACCCGGTCTGCTTAATTTCTGTATGACAGTCCAAAGAAAAAAAAAAAAAGTCAGAGCATTATCAGTCATTCATGAAAACATTGCATCTGACTTATAATTAAAATAGGCATTGGCTATCATTCATAGAACTGGGAATAGCCAGTGGGATGGAACGCAGTGGAATGCAGAGCATAATAAAATGAAGGTCAAGACAAGCCTGCAGGATCTTACAGATGGTGGTTCAACTTTCCCTGCTTTGTGTGAAAGTGAACTTTCCATAGGACAAGGGGTATTTCTGCTTTCTGGAGAAGAAAAAAAAAAGCTGGATGCAGTAGCAGCAGTTTGCATAATCTTCTGCAATTAATTCCATGCAGTTCAGTAAGGAATTTATTTCGTAGCTTAATTAGCAAAGGCCACTTAAGGGACACCAGTCTATTACATTTACAGATGGTTTTCTCTAGTTGCAATCTAGATTAATCTTGTTATTTGCTTCTTCATTTAAACTACTGTTTATTTGCCAAGATATCCACTATGCTCTCAGTGTTTAATACAGTATTATCTTAATCCTCACATAAATTTCTGTGAAACTGTTTTGCTTTACTTTTCCACTAATTAATTCCTTGCACCACAGCATATGCTCTTTTTTAATTTCTCAAATATTCTAATCTCAGAAAAGCCAGAGGAGAAACAAAAAGGGTGGTAAACTCAGCTAGTTTTATTTCCTTGACTATCCCGTCATTTCTGAACAGTCGAGTTTTTCATTACTGATTGTTCTTCATAACCACCAGTGATTATGAAAAGAGCTGGTCCAGACACACGGCTGGCAGCCAGAAATAATTTAGATGCTTTGTCACATAGACCCATTTTGTGCAATACTACAGGGTAATTCTGCTTCAGGTATCAGCCGCTGCCCAGAGTTCTGTATATACTAACTGTATATACTACTAAAATTTTCTGAAACTAAATTGCTATTACTAAAACTTCTGAAGCTGAACTAAGTGGCAGCAATGGTGTTGCTACCAAACAGTAGCAAACACCATTGCGCTAACAAAAATGTTGGCAAATATATCTCAGTGCAGGCGCGATCTATTTCTTGATGGTCAGGACGAGTTTAGAAGCCTTTGAGACTAGCAAGAACTGTGCAAGTAAAAAGCGTTTTCAAGATAAAAGTTAATGCCATGTTGATTGGCAAGAGTTTCTAACAAAAATCAATACTGCATTTAGCAAAACATTGTTCACTTACTAATTGCTGAATTGGAAATTGAGAAAACACAGAAGTGAAAATGAAAAGACTTCAAGACCCCGGAACTCAGAATACTGTTGGGTTAATTCAATGTTCACACTTTTGCCATTAGTAGAGGAATCGGCCCCCAAGTTGAAAAAGCCTGAACCTGGCAGGTTCAGTCTCCCAGCTCGAGTGCGATCAGCCTCCAGCTACCCCCATATGGTTTAGAAGTGACTCTAATGCCTTCATTTCACAAACACTGCGATGTAGAACAGGGAAGGAAAATGAGCATGCCAGCTAAATTAGGAAATGGATCAAGAGTGATTAAATGGGAAAGGTGCTTGATGGGGCAGACATTTAAACAAAGATGGAGATGTGCAAAGGAAGCTAAATGAGGATGGGAAAAGGCTCTTTCCCACAGTAGCTCAAGAAGATGTTAGCAGGAGACGCTGGAAAGATGAGATAGATCAGACGAGCAATTTGGAAAGAAACATTTGTGTTCCAGCGTTTGCCCTTACGGGTGTGTCAATAACATAAGCGAGTGGGTCACTTCTGTAACGAAGCATTTACACATTCATGTTCTGCATATAATTTAGCTTCCAGCATGATTTAAAAAAAAAAAAAAAAAAAAAAGAAAAGAAAAATCAGGGAGGTGTATGTAGAGATGCTGGAAAACAGCTTTAAATTCAACCCTTTTTAGTTAAACATGCGGTGGTTTCCAGCCTTCAGAGGCCGTTCTTAGTCGCCACCAAATCCTGCACAAATCTCTTTGCTCCTTTCCTTACGCTTCACTGAAGGGCACAACGGCTGGAAGCAGCTCGCTGAGATCAGCTGCATTGCTAAGGCTGCCCAAAGCGGCACCCGGATAACCGAGCCCGACCACTGCCACTTCGGAACAGCCCAAACACCGTTTCTGAGAGAAGAGCACACGAAGCACCCTGGGCTGCGAAGCGCTTTAAAACGTGGCACTCGGTGATCTCGCACGCGTGGCAGAAGCAGCTTCTCCAACATTTTTGCCTTTGTGGACGTGTAAGGGGGCTGTCTGCAGAGGGGAGTAAAATGTGGAGGGAGAACCCCGCTCCCAGCTACTGCGAACGGGTGTCGGAGAGGACAGGGGGGAAAAGCCCTCTGCCTCCCCGCAGGCGTGCTCTAACAATGCCGAAACGTCTTGCAACAACCCTCCCGATCGGAAAAAATTGTTTCCACGCCGGCAAAATTACTGCTTTAGGCTGCCGCAGTCAACCTGGTACCGGACGGGGCGGGCGGACCGCGAGAGGGGCAGGGCGCGGGGCAGATGCCCCGGTGGGTACCGAGGTACGGA